GGACGCAAGCCAAGTGCGCTTCCAGGGGCCACTATAACTTCCTGGGCGAGAGCCCGCAATCTATGGCGCAATCTGCGGACGGCACCTATGGCAAAAAGAAATTGCGGGGCGAGAGCGCGCAAACTATGGGCGAAAAGAGTTGTGGCCAGCATCTCTTCGGCCAGAGCGCGCACCCCCTGGGCGCAACTTTCAGCGTAATGCATGGCCTCCACCTGTGGCCACCACAACTCCCGAGCTGGAGCGCGCAGCCCATGGCCTCGCGCTCCCGCCTAGGCACGGCCCGTGGCGAGCAAGAACCCCCAAGGGCCAAGCACTGCTTCGGAGCAATGTTCGCTCAAAAGCGGCGGTTGAGGCATGGTTTGCCCCCCCCCCCTCCCCCTCAGACTGGGGGGGGGGGGGCAGACTTACCTCAACCGCTGCTGGTCTACGAAAATCCCTCCGACTGTGACCCCCTCTCGCAGTGGAAACAGTGCGACGGCGGGGGCCGCGCCTCTCGCCAGGACGCTGACCTCCTCCCGGCGTGGGAGAAAGCGACGGTGGGTTTGGGGCAACTTGTAGCCTCTGGAGACCCTCGCCGGGTCGCGGGGCCGTCAGCAAGAACGCCTCGGGAGGAACAGCCGGTCGCGGGAAACCGGCGCAGCCAGCCCTCTGGGACTCCCACGTCGTGAACAGGTCGCGACTTCGGAGTCATGTGGGAGCTTTGTTCGATTCGCCGGGCCCCGCGCCTGTCCCGCTTGAGACAGTCGTGCCACATGGATTCATGGCAGGTGCGCCTTGCCTGAGACGCTCCACCGCTGCGCGACAATCGGGAGCACGCCCCTGGGAAGGGGCACACCTCCCCCTCCCAGCCCCTGTCCCCCGCCCACCGTTCTCCCCATCGCCTCCGCCCCCCGTCCGTCCCCCCCCCCCGCTCCCCCCCCCAAACCGCCCATCCCTTCTGGTCTACGGGGGCAGCTAATTCGGACCTTGGGACAGCGAGAACAAAAAACGCGACGGCAAAAACAGCCTCGTGGTGATCCTCCCCATCCCCTCTCTTGTCCCATCCGGTCCACCTTCCCCATCCCATCCCGCACCCCTCCTCCTCGCCACTGGACCTCTCCCTGTCCCCTGCCCTGCTGCAGAGTCCTTCTCCTCACGTCATCCGTTTTCTCCTCTTCCCCTTCCGCCCATCTCCTCCTGCTGCCTCCTCGCCCTCATTGTTCTCCTCCTCGTGCCTCCTTCTCCTCCCGTTTCTCCTTCGCCCTCCCTTGGGCGAACCAGAGGCGGCCGTCTGCGCCATCTTCCGCTGCGAGTACTGTCTGGATTTCATCGGCGATGGTTTTCCGATCTTCATGTTCCTTAACGCCAGTTATTGCAGCGAGGATGGGAAGAAGGGAGGACGACGAGGAAACGTAATGAGAACGGGGAGGGGAACAAGGACTACGAATGTGTCGGGTGTGAGGAGGAGCGGGAGGGATGCGGAGGATGGGGACGAAGAGGACGAGGAGAAGTAGGAGAAGGAGATGGGGAGGGCAATATTACTTCTCGGAGACGACTCTTTGGAGAAGGAAGAGAATTATGAGCAGGCAAATCGGAGAGAGGGATCATGCCCAGGACGAGTAAAACAAGGAGGCGGAGGAGGCTGATGAGGCGGAGGACCAGGAGAGCGCGGACAAGGGCGAGGTGGTCGGGGAGGAGGATGACGAGGATGATGATGACAGGGTTGGTGAGGAGGAAGCAGATATTGGTAGCGGAGAAGGAAGAGAAGAGGGGGATACGTAGGCGGGCCAGGAGGATAAGGAGTTTGAGAAGGAGGGAGGAGGAGGAGGAGGAGGAGGAGGAGGAGGAGGAGGAGGAGGAGGAGGAGGAGGAGAAGGAGGTCAAGAAGCGCAGTGGGAGCATGAGGGGCAGTTGGAACAGGCCGAGAAAAGAAGGAGGGTGAGGATGAGGGAGAGGGGACTGGCACGGAGGAGGAGGATTCGGAGGGGCAATGGTGCGGAAGAAGACGACGACGACGAAGACGACAACGATGCCGATGCCGACGACGACGTGCCGACAACGACGACATCCACGACGTCGACTGCGGCGGCGACGATGATGACCGGGACGACGACGATCACCACCGCGAGGAGTGCCGCCGGCACGGGCGCTCGCTGCGGCGCAGGCAGCTCGAGGCGGCGGGGGGGATGCGCAGGCCGGCGGGGCTGCCGTGAGTGCGCAAAGCTCCTCCCAGGGCGCTCCAGGAGCGGCCTGCTCGTCCGTCGATCGATCGGATCGACCTTCAGTCAGGCATGTCCCTCTGCAGGAGGCAAATTCAAAAATAGTCAAAACATAATATGGGGACGATTCTTCGATTTTTTTTGTTTATGTTTGGTTTTCATTGCTTCTCATAGAACAAATTGTTCAAACTCCGCCTCCAGGAGGACATGCCCGACCTAAGATTGACCCCCCTGCTCTGCTTTCGGCGGGAGCGGAGCAGAATCAGGAGATGCGCCCCCGAGATTCCACCATCTCCCTCTCCCTGTCGGCGTCGATCCAAGAGAAGGTTGCCCGGACCTCCGAGCCATTATGATTATGCAGTATGCTGTTATGGTGAGTATGTGTATCAGTCTTACGATCACTACTCGTCTATATTGGCAGTCCGATCATCCCGCCACAATGCCTGGGCTGTGGGTATGAAGCCTATTGGATGGTAGTTGGAATGTCGTGGGAGGCCTCTCGGGGGCCTCTTGGAGGCCATGTGGAGGGAGTTTGGAGGCCTCTCGGGGGCCGTTTAGGGGCCTCTTGGGGCTTCGTTTGGGGCCTCTTGGGAGCCTCTTGCGGCCTTCTGGGCGCCTCTTGGGGCCTCCTTGGGGCCTCTTGGGACGGAATCGTCGGATTTCTGTTCGTGTTCCCTCTCTTTGGCCTCTTTTTGGGCTGTCGTGGGGCACTCGTGGGCCGCACTGGGCGCCTCTTGGGGCGTTTTGGGGCGGGTCTTGGGGCCCTCCTGGGGGCCTCCGTGGCCGTTCTGGGATGGTCTTGGGGGCTGTGGGGCCGCCTCGGAGAGCCGAACACTCGTGAACGTCACGATCTTTCAAAGAATCCTCAGACAATCAATGATTTATGTCTCTTGGGGCCCTCTCGGGAGGCCTCTTGGAGACCTCCTGGAGCGTACTGGAGGCCCTCTTGGGCCATCTTGAGGCCATCTTGGGCGACTCGGGGCCCTCTTGGACCGTCTTCGGGGCTTCCGGGGGCGCTCGTGCTCCGTCTTCGGGCCCTCTTGGGCCGGATCGAATGATGCGAGAACACGTCCCGGAGCCCAGGGGGCACGACGGAAGACCCGGTAGATTTCGGAATTTGGGTCCGGGCCTTCAGGACTGAGGACTGAGGCTCCACGGATTAGGCAAAGGGCCCGAGGAGACGCCCACTCCGTGCCCAGAGGCACGGTGCTGGATTTGCGAGCGTTGAGTTGTTCTTCTTGGTATTTTTATTATGATAATTAAAATTATCATCATTATTATTATTATTATTAGTATTATTATTCATATTATTATTATTATTAATATTATTATTCCCATTATTATTATTATTTTTATTATTAATATTATTATTATTAGTATTATTATTATTATTTTTTTTATTATTATTATTCATCTTCTTCTTCGTCTTCTTCTTCGTCTTCTTCTTCATATTCATCTTATTCTTGTTCTTCCTCATCATTTTCTCCTTCTTCGTCTAGCGCGGCGCCGGAGGTCTGGGTCCCCCTCCCTCGAAGATCCGCCCTCTGCGCCCTGCCGTCCGCAGATGAGCCTCGTGCATGCCGCCCCTCCCTCCGGGCGGGCATCTCCGGGGGCGGCGATCCCAGGCCTCCTCCGCGCAGTGGCGAAATCCCGACGGCAGTTTTTTTTTCGTTTTTGCAATTTTCGGCCCCCGGGGGGGCACGCAGGCCAGGCCTCGGGGCCGTCAAACAAAACCGACGCAGGATGAAAAACCGGTCCAGGGGAACGGGTCGAGACCTCCAGGGGTCGACGTGATGAGAAAAGCATGACGTCGGGGGTTTGGGTGAGGGGGGAGACGCTCAGCCGCCCCGGCGGGAGGGATGATGCATCGACCCCCAGTCGCAAACTGATCGCCGATGGGCCGCCCAGGAACCGTGCGGCTCCGCTACCGAAAGCCTAGCGCCGATCTGTCGGCGATCTACCGACGATTCTAGGTTGATGTGGCCCCTCCCGGAGCCGGGGGTGGACATAAACGGTGTTTTGGCGATTTCGTGGGCCGTTCTCGTTTCGATGCCGTTTTGCAGCAACAGCGAACTTAAGACAAAGAGAGGGAAAACGAAAACAAGTCGGAGACGAAAAACACTGTGTAGGTCGAGTCCTGCCCTGAGCCAGCCCCCCCCCAAAGAACTCGGACGATGTGTTCTGTGCAACCTGGGCCCTCTGAGGTCTGCACGCGCTCCTCGGTGCCGGGTTCCCTTCCTGAGCCGCTCTTGGACGACTGGGCCCGGCGAGGGCTCTTTTCCAGGGGCCGAAGATTGCCCCAAGCCCGCTGCTGTGATTTTTGCATGACGAGAGCAGGTGGTTGTCGGGTCGTCGCTCGGCTCTCCCGCGACCGTTTCGGGACGACCCCCAGGAAGGCTACCGGCGAGGCGCAGTTGCCAGAGAGCACCCTTTGGCTGGAAAACCGCCAGGAAGCGACGAAAAGGCTCGACGACCTCGAACCCCGATCCCGAAACGCTTCCTGGCAGGAGGAGCCCGATAGAAGTTTTCAAGGAGCGGCCCCAGAGGTCCCGCCCCCTTCTCCGTGGCCAGTTTTTTTCCGTTCCAGGTCCGTTGTTGATGATCCCAGGGCCCGAGTAGGGCCCCCATGGAGGCCGAAATCCACGGAAAGCGCTCCTCCTCCTCCTCCTCCTCCTCCTCCTCCTCCTCCTCCCTTTCCTCTCCTCCTCCTCCTCCTCCTCCTCCTCCTCCTCCTCCTCCTCCTCCTCCTCCTCCGGCGCATCGTCTGATTTTTTGACCCCCGCCTCACATCTGCTCCGGCAGGCCGTCCTCCTACTCGTCCAGCGGCAGCAACTGGTCGTCCATGGTGTCAGAGACCTGCAGCGCCAGCTCGGCGCCGACCCCAGAGGCCCACCAGGCGGGGCCCAGTTCGCTCCGATCGGTCCGATTCGACGTCGATCGGTCCGACCCGATTCGGCTCCAACGTCTTTGCGATGCAACGTGGCCCGAGGTTCGCTTGGCGCTGGTGTGCTCCAAGGCACAGCCGATCCGGTTCGGTTCCGACTCCGACTCGATGCTCACCGGGCGCGTTCCATTACTCGCAAAGTGTTTCCTCGGCGGAGCAAGGCCATCTGCGAGTAGTTACTTTGCGAGTAGTGGAACGCGCTCATCCGGATTCGAAAAAGAAAAACGCTTGAAACATTAACTTTTTGGATCTGCGCTGGGGACCCCCGGCGTCGCCTCCGAAGCGCCAAAAGTTTACGTTTATGCAGTTTGGTCTTCTTCTATACATTGAACGCGCTTGTCTAGATGCAGTCCGATCCGACGTGCCTTCCGATGCGATCCGCTATTTCCGGGGTCGGTGCTGACTTGATTGATGAGCCTGCTTTCCACCACCACCACCACCATAAGTTGGAGGGCGGAAGGATGAGGAGGAGGAGGAGGAGGAGGAGGACCCCCTCCCCCTCCTTCTTGTGGTGGTGGCGATGGGAAGCGGGCCCACCGTTGACTGATCCTGCCAGGCGCCGGCCGCCGGAGGCGCTCGGCTCATCGGGTGGATCCTCGGGGCGGGCCTGCGGACGCTGGCCTCCATGGTCAAGGCTCGGGGCAGCGGAGATCATTCTCTGCATCTTCGGGGGGGCCCCAGACCCCCTCGGGTAATGGTACTGAAAAAATCATGGCGGGAGGTTTTGTTTGTTGTTTTCGGGCTTTGGGGGCCCTTACCGGCCCTCGGGACCGTCAAAAAACGACTCGGGAAGAAAAACCGGTCCAGGGGAGTGGATCGAGACCTCCAGGGGTCGACGTAATGAAAAAATCATGACGTCGGGGGTTTGTGCCCTTCCTGTCCAATACGTGGCAGTCTTGTCTCATACGCCGACGTGGGCCCGACGCGGACTCGACGTGGATGCCACACGGTTTCGGCACGGTTCCGACTCGGCTTCGACACGGATCCGACGCGCTCGGCGCGGATTCGACACGGAGTCGACGTGGATCGCGGCGCCGCGGGACAAACAAGGCCCCCCCCCCGAAGGTGCCACATAACGGAGAGTTGCACCAACGCAGCGGAGGGGAAGGTACACCGATGCCGCTGCTTGCGCCGGAGGGCCCTCGTCGCCACGGCTGGGGTTTCTCCTCGAAATTCTGGGCAGAGTGCACCCTGGGAGCGCGGAGGGCCGCAACCCAGACCTTCGATTTGGTGGCAAATCATGGGAGTCTGGTGTACCCTGTCAATTCCGTCTTTAGCGTCGACCAGCTTCGATTAACGTTTGGAGTCGATGAGATAGCGCCGAATTAGCGTCGAGTAGCGTCGATTCAGCGTCGACTAGCGTCGATTCGCAAGAGCCGACAAGATGGCATGGGAGGCTCCCACGAGTTGCCTCCGACAAATTCTGAGCAGAGTGCGCCCTGGAGCGCGCAGGGCCGCAGCCCAGACCTCAGAAGTCTTGAGAACATCGAGAGGGCAAAAAGACCCCGTACCCGAGTACCACGATGAAGACGTAGCTTCGCTGAGGTCCCCGTCTTCGCATGAGGGATCATCATCCTGGGCGGCTTGGCCTGGTACACCTGCAGAACAAACCCCCATATCCCTAATGATTCTGGCCCTCCCAAGTCAGGCCCCCTCCCAAAGAGTTCGGGGCCTTTTCGTTGGTCAATCCACCGAGGTGTTTCGCCGTGTTTTCGCCGTCTGCCTATGGTTAGGTCGGGCCTGTCCCTCTGCAGGAGGAATAGTCCAAAATAGTCGTTAAACAGGTCTGGGGACGACGTGTGGACTATGCTTGATTGTTTTCGTGATTTTGTTTGGGTTTCTTTCCTTCAAAATCTGCCTGCAGGGGAACATGCCCGACCTAAGCCTATGGTGGCCCTCGCCTGACCCCGGGGCCGTCAACCAAAACGGCCCAGGACGAAACGCCTGCTTCCGCGAGAAGTGGTGCAGAGTTCCCCGGGGGGGGGGCCGTATGTCCAGGCTGGAGAGTTTCTCCGAAGGGATCAGGCGACCCCTCCTCCTCCTGCTCCTCCTCCTCCTCCTCCTCCTCCACCTCCTTCTCCTCCTCCTCTTCCTCCTCCTCCTCCATCTCCTCCTCCTCCCTCGTCCTCCTCCTCCTCCTCCTCCCTCCCACCTCCTCCTCTTCCCATCTCCTCCTCCCCCTCCCTTCCTCCACCTCCTCCTCCTCCTTCTCCTCTCTCTCTCCCTCCTCCTCCTCCCTCCTCCCTCTCCTCCTCCCTCCTCCTCCCCTCCTCTTCTCCATCTCTCCTCCTCCTTCTCTCCTCTCTCTCCTCCTCCTTCTCTCCCCCTCCTCCACCTCCCTCCTCCTCCTCTCCTCCTCCTCTCTCCATCTCTCCTCCCTCCCCTCCTCCACATCCTTCTCCTCCTCCTCCTTCCCCTCCTCCTTCTCCTCTCCTTCTTCTCCTCCTCCATCTGCTCCTCCTTTCTCCTCCTCCTTCTCCGCCTCCTCCTCGAGCTCCTCCTTCTCCTCCCCTCCTCCACTCCTCATCTTCTCCTCCTCCCTCTTCTCCTCCTCCTCCTCCTCCTCCTCACCTCCTCCCTCCTCCTTCCTCCTCGTCCCTCGTCCCTCCGTCCCCCCTCCTCCTCCATCTCTCCTCCCCTCCCCTCCTACCCTCCTCCTTCCTCCTCCTCTCCTCCTCCTCCTCCTACTCCTCCCCCCTCCTTCTCCTCCCTCCGCCTTTCTTCCTCCATCTCTCCTCTCTCCCCTCCTCCTCTCCTTCTCCTCCTCCTCCCCTCCTTCCAGCTTCTCCTCTCTCTCTCCTCCTCCTCCTCCTTCCTCCTCCTACACCTCCTTCTCCTTCTCCCCATCCCCTCATCCATCTCCTCTCCTCCTCCTCCTCCTTCTCCTCACCCTCCCTCCTCCTCCTCCTCCTCCTCCTCCTCCTCCTCCTCCCCCCTCCTCCTCCTCCTCTTCCTCCTTCTCCTCCTCCTCCTCCACCACCTCCTCCTCCTCTTCCTCGAGTCGCCTACGGCCTCGGGGGAAACCGTGAAGTCCAGGCTTTCTAGGCAGGGTCCGAGTAGATGGGGTCGGAGGATCGCGCCGCATCGCCGATGCATCGGCGATACGGCTCGATGTTGAGCCCGTGCTTCCCCACGCCGGCGTCGTCGATGCATCTCCGACGTCGCCGATGCATCGCTGATGCATCGTCGGTACATCAGCGATGCATTGGCAATGCGGCGTGATTCTCCGACCCCGTCTACCCGGACCCCATCTAGAAGGCCTCCAAGGATATCCGCGCGGACCTCCGAGAGACTACAGTCGAGATTACGGACCGCTTGCGGCTCGGGTTTTCGGGCCGTTCCTTCGATTCATGTGTCGTGGAACCTGTTTGTGGCCCAGGCCCGCCGTGGCCAGAAACGCCTCCTCGTTCCCTATGTTGCATTCCTTATGGTAGCACCATGACCGTAGGTTTATGTCAATGTTTGATGCTCTGAGGGTACCGAGCTCATCCGGGCCGCCTCGGTTGAGTGGCTGGCCACCTCCGGCGACCTCCGCCACGTCGAGAGCGCGTCGTTGTCCGACGACGCGGGGCACAGGGATGATCCAGCGGACTTGGCCGACCAGGAGGCGGGCAGCAGGAGATCTTCGGAGGCGCACGACCACACGTCGGAGCCCGAGGGGGCTCAGGACATTCACTGCCCCTGCGGCGGTCCCGATGGGTGAGCGGTGTGAACTGCGACCCCGCTGGAATTTAATAGTACGTTTAATGTTAGGGCCTGCGGGAGGAAGTGAGGCAGGGAGGCCGCAGGCTTCGAAGGCACCCTGGCGGCACCCCTGCGGCAGCGCACTCTTGGCAGGCCGTGCGCTGCCGAGTCCCAGCCAGCAGCGCTGCTCGTGCCGTTCGGCGCTTGCGAGGGGAATGGTGGGCTCGTTTTCCACCACCACCACCACCACCGTAAGTTGGAGGGGTGAAGGAGGAGGAGGAGGAGGAGGTGGACGAGGATGAGGAGAAGGGGGAGGAGGAGGAGGAGGAGGATGAGGAGGAGGTGGTGGAGGATGACCTCTTCCCCTCCAACTTTTGGTGGTGGTGGTTGAGAACAGGCCCATCAGGGAACCTGGAGATTCTGAGGCCAGTCGCCTGTTTATGAAGCTCTGCGCCGTGCGCCGCGCGCCCTTTTAATAGTCAAGTTATTGCGGTGGCCCTCGGCGCGCGAGGAGGCTCCCCCTCGCTCGCCCCCGAGGGTTCGATCCGAATAAGCGTCAGGGAGACCCGAAGATGGCCCCCGCAAAAAGTTTACTCCTCCTGCTCTCGTCGGCCGCCACAGATCAAGGGGGGAAATACCACATGGACCGGACAACTGGCGATCCTTAACGGCCGTGTGCGTTTGCTAAACAGCCCTGCCCTGTTCGATTCCTTTTTTTGGGCGCGTTTGCTAAACGACTTCGCGTGTCGGGGTGGTTACTATCGGCATGGGTTTTCTGCCCTCTAACAAACGTCCCGCCAGAAGCGTCCTGGGAGCACATGCTCGCGCACGCGTGTGTGTGCGTGCCTCGTGCGGTCGTGCTGTGCTGTGGTGCGCGTTGAGGTGTCGTTCGGTGCGCTCCTGCGCGCGGTTTGCTTCGCCTCGGTGTGGTGTGGTTGGCCGAGCAGTGCCTTGCCGTGCTGCACGTTCGCCAGACTTGTCGTCTTGCACTATTTTGTGAATTGGTACGCTGTGTTGTTGTTGTTGCTGCTGCTGCTGCTGTTGTGATTGTTGTTGCGTGTTGTTGTAGGTTAGCTACTGAACAATGATTATTGTTGGACCCCTTACAGGCCGAGGCGCCGGCTGCATCTTCCATTGAAAAGGAGGCTCACGCTCGAGCGGTTTGGGGGACCGCCACAAACAACAACAACAGCAACAACAACAACAATAAGAATAAGTGTAACACTGTTCGCCCTTATATGCTCAAGTGTCCAATAACGCGTATCTCCCAAACCCTCGATACCCGCCTTCTTCATCTTCGATCGAACACCTTTTGGGGGGTATACCTTTCTTCCCTGCAGGCCGGGCCCCAGCAAGCGGCGGGGCGGCCGCGGACCGTCGGCCTGGCCAGCGGCAGCGCTGATCGGCGGGGCGGCCGCGGACCGTCGACCCGACCCCAAGAGGGACGGACAGGGGACCGACCACGACGACGACGACGACGACGACGATGACGACGACGTCTGAGACGACGGCGACGACGACGACGACGGCGATGACGAGCGAAAGCGAGAGCGAGAGAGAACGACAGCAGGGCCACGAAGGGCACGAAGTAGGCCACGAAGGGCGACAGCGGGGACACGAAGGGAATGCGTATGGGGCCACGAAGAGCGCGAACGAGCGGGGGCCACGAAGTGCAGATAATGCGGGGCCACAGAAGGTAACTATGGGGCGACTGAGGGTAGCAATTGGGCCACGTAGGACAGTAAGGGGGACACAAATGGCGACAGCGGGGCCACGAAGGGCATGCACATGGGGCCACAACGGGCGCGACTCCTGGGTGCCTTGGTGTCGGGAGCGCGGCGTTTGGGCAAACTGCAAGAAATTCAAACGCAAGGCCATTCTTCAGTAAGCTGCAAGCAAGTCTCCAGCGAGAGCGCGACTCCAGAGCGCCATGAGAGCGATTCCCGAATAAATTGCAAGGCGTTCCCAAGCGAGAGCGCGATTCCTGAATAAAATAAGAGGAAGTCTCGGGCGGGAGCGGGGGTCCTGGCTAAATTGTAAGGAAGTCTCGGGCCCAGTTTGAGCATCAAGATTTTCCCTGCCAAAAAAAAGGTGTGAGCGTCGAGGTGCACACCTTGATTGAGAAGAACAGTATGCACTGGTGGGGGATCAACAATACGTATTCTTCAGAAATGAGAATTCAACAACAACAACAACACCAACAACAACAACAACAACGCTCCCGTTCGATACTTTTTCCTTTTTTGCTCAGGGCCGGTGCTCGTGCTCGCCGCCGAAAGCAGCCGTCTGAACAAAGCCAGCGCTCCCGTTCGAGACTTCTTCCCATTTTACATTGGACAGGCGCGCTGCTCTTTCTCTCATCGGCGCCGCCCCCCAGCAACAACAACGCTCCCGCTCGAGACTTCCTTCCCTTTTTTCTCAAGGCGGTGCTCTTGCTCGCCGCCGACAGCCGCCGTCCCGACAAAACCAGCGTTCACGCCCGAGGCTTCCTCCCGTTTCACGCTGGGTGCTCTCTTTTGACTTGGCGCTGCTCCCAGCAAGAACAACGCTCCCGCTCGAGGCTTCCTCCATTCTTCTTCAGGGCGGTGGTGTTCCTCGCCGCCGAGCTCCCGTCCGGACAGAACCACGGCTCCCGCTCGAGACTTCCTCCCTTCTTACGCAAAGCGGTATTCCTCGCCGCCGACAACCACCGTCCCAACAAAAACCAGCGTTCCCGTTCGACCGTTCTGAGAAGATGCTCATGTTCTGGCCGCCGCTGGGTTGGCATCAGGTCTCTCCCGTCGGAGGACCCCCATCGAGAAACGGGCGTCGGAGGTCAGAGCTCCTGTCGGGCAGTAGCGAAGCGTCTTGGATTCTCCTATAGTCCCACCAAGACCTGTTCTGAGAGCCCTTCGTGGTCTGCGCAACGCGTTGTAACAGCACTTCTGGTTGCGACTGTCCTGCTTTAACACATCAGGCCTCTGTTCTGAGAACCTTGTTTTTGTTCATCGAACATTTTCGGGGCCCGAGAACATTACGTGGCAGGCCTATAAGAATGCCGGGACGGTCGGTCACTGCTCCATTCTGGACGCGCCGCGCCCTCTCGCCTCCCCCCCATTCCTCGTGCGCAGGGCGTCGAAGGTCTGGCCAGGGTCTGCACGAGCGCGCCGTGGGACGCGCGGGAGTGCACCGAGAGGTCCGAGAGCCCGCCAAGAGGGCGCAAGAGGTCCCAGATGACCCCAGGGTGGCCCAAACAGGCCGCGAGAGAGCCCACGATAACAACAACATATGGCCAATAGCTGTTGACAACATTTGGCTCCTCCCACGACCCCAACGCAGTCTCGTATGTGATTCCTGAGTTCGAGGCTTCGATATATATATATATATATATATATATATATATATATATCCCAGAGCGCCTCGGATGAGCTTCATGCGCAACGGCCGGCCCTCAGGGCCGAAGAGGCCCCGAGAGGCCTCAGATGGCCCAAGAGGCCACTGGTTTGCTTCAGACGGCCGCACGAGGCCGCAAACGTGCCCAGAAAGGCTTCCCAAGAGGCCCCCCGGGGCCCCTCCAAGGGAGACCGCAAGGGCTTGACTCGAACACGGCCATTCTTTTGATCATCAGGCCAAGATGCCCCTCAGAACCCCATCAGGGGAAGTGGAGATAGAAGGGGAGATGCCGGAATTGCTCAAACTCGTTCCTCTTTGTAGGTGCCTCCGACATGTAACGAAGCACGCTGAGGAGGGGAACGCAGATGACGGTAATTCAGGGCGGAGAGGGGGAACGCATTGTCAGGAAATAGTGCGAGCACGGGATAGAGCAGAATTACAATGAGGGCAAGGCAGGTACCTCCCACCAGGCTCGCGCGCGCGGGCCACGTGTGCCTGAAGCGGGAAGCGAGGAGCGAGAAACGAAGGGGTGGGGTCAGGTGTTCAGTCTCGCACCCTCGCCCTCGCCACCACAGCCGGGCCCATGCCAGAAGGACAGCATTCAAGAGCATGAGACACTCCATCGGCCAAGACAAGCAGAGCATCCAAGGGTACCTTCCCCAGGATGCACAAGAACATCCAGCAAGCACAGAGAACGCTAGGACACCCTCCCCCCCGAACCGGCCTCGATTTTAGAACTCGGTCCGGCTGTAAGACTTGCCAGACGTGATCTCGTCAGCCGGGCTTGGTCGGTACGTGGGCAGCGGGGACCCCCGTGGTGGAGGAGCGGGGGAGGCGCCCTCGGGGCGGCGGGGCCGCCCTCTCGGCGCAGGCCCGCACCTGCATCGCCTCGCACCTGCTCGAGGCCGACGGGGCGACGACGACGCCGACGCCGACGCCGACGCCGCCGCCGCCGCCGACGACGACGACGGCGACGGCGACCTCGCCCTCGTCTTTCCCGCCGGCCTCCCTCGAGAAGACGTGCGGTTTCAGAGCTTCGCAAGATGCCGCATAGGCACGGACAGATCACAGCACCAAACTCGTGCGACCTGGGATGGAGCAGCCTCGTCTGCACTGAGCGCGTCCTGTGATCAACTACCGATGGGCCAACAGCCTTGATCCAATCCCCCGCCCCCTGTCCCCGTCCCGCCGTCCCCGCCGATGGCCCCTTATTTGGAGATCGAGGGAGCACAGGGAAGCTGGAAAAAGTGGCAATGGCCAGCCCTTTCACTCTTTCCAGCCCTGGTCGGTTTCATTTCGTTTTTGCAGCCCTGGCGACCAGGTCCCAAATGTTTTGGGTTTGTTCCAGCCCCTGCCAGGTTTTCCAGCCCTGGCCACTTCCACTTTCATTGAATTTCCAACATCCGCTGTTTCAGGCTTGTCTGTGAGCGTTGCATAAAAATGAACTCTCGACGCTCGGCGCGGATCCCTTTGATCTGCGCCCGGGACCCCATGGAGGCGCCTCTGGCGCCACCCTGGGCGCATCCCGTGCGCCAGGGAGGGGGGCCCATCGCCGATCCAAGAGATCTGCGCGGATCTTCAAAAGTTTATGTTTATATAGCACCCCGCAATTGCGGATTAGAGTGAAGGGGCGGGCGCGGACGACGC